TCGCACTTACGCTGAGGCAACCTCGGGACCCTGGGCCTCTCAATGGATAGCTGCCATGGAGCAGGGGATGGGATCTTGGAGATCCACCGGCACCTATGTCGATGCAGTCCCCCCGCATGGTATGAACGTAGTCGATGGCCGCTGGCTCTTCAAGGTGAAGCGCCCCCCTGGAGAGCCGCCTGTGTTCAAGGCGCGCTAAGTGGCTAGAGGCTTCAGTCAGCGAGAGGGGATGGACTTCTTTCAGAACTTCGCCCTGACCCCACAGGTGACTTCTCTTCGGGTGCTGCTACATATAGCAGCACAGCGTGACTACACGAGCAGCGCCGTCCTCAGGGCTTCACCGATACCTTCCCACCTGGGACCTAGTGGCTCCTCCGGCGCCCTGTCTATGGCCTACGACAGGTGCCCCGTGAGTGGCACGACACGCTGCGTGGTACGCTTGATGACCTGCAGTTCTCTCCGTCCTCTGCAGACCCCTCTCTCTTCATTCGTGCTGGCCAGACTCCGTTCTACATCCTCGTCTACGTAAACGACCTAGTCTTCTTATACCTTGACGCGCGGCTCATCCGCATCGGGTTCTTACAGCTGCCGCACGACCAGGGTATGTACCGGCTCACACGAGAAGCTGCCTACGTATTGCTGATCGTCTACGTAGACGACCTGCTATACGTAGGCTCGACCGCCGTCGTCATTGCCTGGTTTGAAGGGGAGCTACAGCGGAACCTCACACTCACACTCTCCCCTTCCGTGAGCCAGTACCTCAGCTTGAACATGCTGGACGTAGAAGAGGCGATCTATCTTAGGGCCTCAAAGTATGCCGACGTCATCCCTAAAAGGTTCGACCTCACCCCGGCTGTGATCTCCACTCCGTACCGCTATACCGTCCTGAGCTACATGACAGACTCAACCATACTCGCGCCTGCCGGACTATGCGACTACCAGCAGAAACTGGGTTTTCTCCTCTTCGTCGCTGGACCTATCCTACTCGGCGAGCCAACTTGCCACCCACCTCAAACGGCCCGAGGCGGAGCACCTAGCCGAACTTAATCGCGCGCTCCACTATTTCGTCTCGACGCCAACAGTCGGCTTAACCTATCACAAGACGAAGATCGCATCGCCTAAGCTAATCGGCTACGTCGATGCTGATCATGCCGACGACTCTGACAACAATCGATCGCGAACCAACTACGTCTACCGCCTAGAGCCCATCGGACCAATCTCCTAGCAGTCGAGCAAGCAGGAGCTAATTGCTCTCTCCTTTGCTGAAGCAGAGTATATAGCTCTCTGCACAGCCACCAAGGAAGGACTATACCTTCGCGAGCTGATGGAAGAGGCCAAGCTCGATGCGTTACTCTGTTTCTCCCTCTTCTGCGATGACCAATCTGCAATTGGAATTCCGAACAAGAATGGTTTCGCCAACCGCACGAAGCACATCACGCTGCGCTACTTCTTCGTGAAAGATGAAATTGAGAAGGGGAGACTCGAGCTGTCTTACTGCCCCACGTCTGAGATGGCAGCAGATTACTTGACCAACAAGCTTGGGAAGTCGAAGTTCGACTACCTCTGCTGACAGGGCAGCGTCATGTCACTCGCCCCGACCACGACGACACTCAAGAAATGAAGGGGAGTGTTGGAAACAAAGAATTGGAGGAGTAACCCGTTTCTGTAGTATCGAGACCCGAGCGATATTGTGGAGTGGTCAACAACGAGTACGGCAAGTCAACGGAGGTTACTCACGGCAGTTGTGCGTGTGACCAAGCTCTCGACGCCAGCGCAGCTTGGCTCTCGGTAGCAGAGAGAGAATCGGGAGTGAAGCTCAAAAGCTTTCAAATAGACAGGGCGATGGAATACCAGTCCCACCGCTACAAGCAGTACCTGGCAGAACAGGGAATCGAGAGACTCGTCTTGCTCCCCTACGCTCACCAACAACTAGGTGTAGCAGAACGGATGAACAGTTCGCTACAGACGACGATGAGAAAGGTGCTCCGAGGCATGCGCATGCCCAACTCACAGTGACCAGAGGCGATGGACCACACCGTCATGCTCCATAACCTGCTGTCGTCTTCCTCCCTGCCGAATAGCGCATCACTGCATCTGCTGTGGATAGAAAACTAGGCAGCACAAAATTAGTACGAGTTTTTTGGTGCATGGTACAGTACAGGGCCCACACTGCACGCGCCGGATGATTTTCACTACGCGCCAAGTAGGGATTGCACCTCGGCATAAAAAATCTTCGACGTGAACGAGAAGGAAACAGTGGCAGCACGTGTGTTAGGATAAGGACGGAGTCTAGGTGAACTTAGGAGCTAGAATTACTCAAAATATATATCCGAAATTCTGGACAGAAAATTCGTCTTCACAAGAAACAACGTCGACAAAAAACTAGCCTTTTGGAATGTCGCGAAACTCGGATATGTTGTAGCTTGTAATCGTAGCTACCATTCTCAATTTGAATCACGTCGATTGATGGAGTATTGGCGACGCTATGTCTTTCGACGCACTGGGGGGGTAAGCTGTAGAAGGAGAACTTAACTCAATCTCAAAAGTTCAATCAAAGTTCAAGAATCTCACAAGGAATTAGAGGAGCAAGAGAAAGGTTGGGATGGAAGAGAGGGATGAGAGGGAATGTCCTAAGAGAGTCCCCAACCAAGGAAACCCCATAAGCACAAAGATTCCCCCCCTATAGGAACCCCAACTTTGATATTTGTCCCTTCCCAACCAATCCATCCAAGTTGGCCACCCTTGCCAACCTAGCTTGGTTGTTCCCAACCAATTTGCAGCTGTTACAGTAGAGTGACGAATTTCCCCAACCCCAAAGGTCCCAACTCCATATAATGTTCCGCTGTAGGGTTGTCATGGGATTCCTGGATGAGCAGGGTACAAAGTAAATCGTAGCCGGGTACCCAGATGCGAGAGGTGCTGCGCTTATGGAAATACGGTCCAGTAGCGGTGGTATGCTGTTGATGGATAGCGGAGCGGAAAAAGGGATCGATCTTGTAGCCGTGGGTGAATAGCCTCGTAAGTAATGGGTTTGACTGGGCGATTAGTATCGCGGCGGTATGGACAGTAGGGCGGGTCAAGGCATCGGCGATATTATTGGCCCCCCGTTTGTAGGTGATGGTGTAATGGAAATTTGACTCGAGGAAATCGAGCCATCGGATCTGTCGGGGATTGAGGTTCGGTTGGGCGCGCAGGTACTATAAGGATTTGTGGTCCGTTCGCACCGTGACGTCAGCTTCGGTCAGGTAGCACCGCCAGGTCTTGAACGCGTGGACGATCACCGTGCACTGTATAGTTCTTCTCCGCGCCTTGCAGCTTCCGTGATTCGTACGCGACTGGTTGTAACCCGTCGCCAAAATCCTGTAGTAGAACTGCACCGATGGCGATACCGTCACTCTACTGTAACAGCCCCAAAGGTCCCAACTCCTCAGGACATTTCGACGTCGATAAAACCACGAAGATGCTGCAGCGGAATGATTACTGGCCGAACATGGCCGATGACGTACGCAAGTACGTGTCCTCCTGCACCGCCTGCCAGATTATGAAATCGTCGCATCAGCGAGCAGCCGGACTACTACAGCCGTTGGATCCGCCCGAGCGACCCTGGCAACACGTCACGATGGACTACGTGACAGGCCTGCTAGCCGGTCCCAGCGGAAACGACGCCATCCTCGTGGTCGTTGACCGACTCACGAAAATGGCGCACTTCATCACCTGCCAACAGACAATCACCGCCGAACAAACTGCGCAGCTGTTCATCGCGAACGTCATCCGCCTGCACGGACTACCATCCGCCATCATTTCGGACCGAGACCCAAAATTCACATCGAATTTCTGGCGCCACTTGTGGGACCAATTCAGCACCAAACTCCAATTTTCATCTGCCTACCACCCACAGACTGACGGGCAGACCGAACGCGTCAACCAGACCATGGAGCAACTGATTCGTACTACCTATACTGACCCATCGACATGGGAGAAATCCCTTCCGCTGCTAGAATTCGCGTATAATAACGCGACCTCCGCCACAACCAACCAATCTCCATTCTTCCTCAACTACGGACAGGACCCAGTCGTACCCTCTACACCGACCATCGAGTCACCCGTGCCCCGGTCCCAGAAATTTGCTGAAGACATTCTCGCCGCTCGAGAAAAAGCAGCTGAAGCCATCCGAAAGGCCAACCTGGCGGCAAGCCGACAAGCCGATCGTCATCGCCATGACGTCACCTACAAAGTGGGAGATCTAGCCCTCCTCGACACCCGTAACCTGCGGCTGCCGATCCCGAGCAAACTCCGACCTAGATTCTGCGGACCTTTTCAAGTGACTACCTAGTGACACCTGTCACTGTTCACCTTCGACTACCGGCTGATTGGCGCCACCACCCGGCTTTCCACGTCAGCCTTCTCCGACCCTACGTCCCGAGTTCGTTGGACTTGGCACGCAACCGCGGTGTACCGCAACTAACGCCTTTGCAGGAACCGACGACCGAGCCCCTGAAAATCCTCAGCCATCGCGTCACCACGCAGCTGAACCGTCGGATGGTTGATTTCCTCGTCCGCTGGCGCGATCGCATGTCCGAAGACGACAGCTGGGTGTCTCTCGTTGACCTAGAATCACATCCGATTCTAACGGCGTATTTATCGGCGTCGTAACGTCTCCGATGCCCACGGACTCGTTTAGGAGGGGGGGGTAGTGTAAGGAATTTCCATTCCTTACTGATTCGCCCGCTACCGCGTACACCCGAACACTTCGACTCGTCACGTTCGGCCTACATTTTCGGCCCAACCCTTTCTCGAGTCGCGTCCGACAGCGTCGCCACATTGCCGAACCTAACCACGTCCCGAGGTTATCGCCCTATTACGTCTACTCCTATATAACCTCGTGCTTTCATTGCAATAACGACGTTGTATTCTCACGTTATAGTTCATTGACATTTTCTAAATCATAACACACAACTTCACTTTGTAACCGCCGCAATTGTAACGCAAGCTCATGAACTTGGAATCTTCATAGCTTTCGCGTTCTTGCTCCGATTGAAGGGATTCTTGTTGCGTCGGAAAGATCTTCTCAAGATCTATCATCACAAATACCTGCTCAGACAGAATAACACAAAACACATTCCCAAACTCCATAACACACACCACACAAATTCTTTCACACACAGTCAAACCATACATGCGAATTGAAACAAGGGATGGGAGGCAGACAGAATGTGATAGCATATGATGACATCACACAACAATCTCCCCCTCTGGCTGCCAACCATCATCCACCATACCAACATCTCAAGCATGCATACTCAATGCACACTCAATGCATACTCAATGCACACTCAATGCAAGCTTCATGCCCTTCCAATGATCCGCCTCCGCCAGACGCTTAGTGAAAATATCTGCTGCTTGCTGATGGGTCTTCACTATCTCCAGCCGCACCTCCTTATCAAGGAGTCTTCTCACCCAATGCCACTTAGGCCTTATGTGTTTTGTCAGCCCATGCAGACAAGCATTCTTGGCGAGCTTCACAGCAGACTCATTGTCACAAAACACAACTGTCGGCTCCTCCTGACCAACTCCCAACTCCTCCGACAAACGCCTCAGCTATACCACTTCCTTGACCCCAAGGTATAAGGCCACGTACTCAGTCTCACATGAGGACAATCCCACCTCATTCTGCTTCTTGCTGCGCCAGCTCACAGCACCACCTCCTAGCAAGCACACATAACCCCCAATGCTGGTGCCATCCGCTTTCACTGAGTTGAAGCTAGCGTCAGTACCTTAGGCTGAGGAATTGCAGCCCAATAGCACAACGCAATCTCATCTTCCTCAATTTGCTCAACCACAGTCCCAGCCTGCACCACATTCGACTTGCCTTTTCCCCCATAGGTCAGCCTTACTGGAGGACGCACATCCCTCCTAGGTCGCTCAGGCGGGTGTGGAACTCGAGGTGGAGACTCATGCTGCTGGTGCTGCTGCTGCTCCACTTCAGCTGCTCCCCCTTCCTCAGTCACCCCAGACATCTCCTCCTCAGACACTGCAACCTCCACCTGTCTTGAAGGCCGCTGCACCTCATCTGCCTCCACAATTAGTGGTGTAGATGGAAGCTTCTGTTGCTGCTGCTTCCATTCCTTGTAGTACAGGGACTCAAGAAACTTCACATCCCTTGACACTGTCAGCCTCTAGGTGGTCAAGTCTCATAGCAGCCACCCCTTGTGATCCTTTGCAATCCCCAAGTGCACACCCCATCTTCTAGAAGCCTCCAACTTCCCATTTTCTCCTTAGGCACATGAAACACCACCATGCACCCAAATGCCCTCAGCATGTTCACAGCTGGAGCACTCCCATACCACTTGACATATGGGATCCACTCCTTATCCCCAACTGTAGCCAGCACCCTGTTCTTCACAAGGGCGACCTGCCTCAGTGCAGACACCCAAAACGGATCAGGCAGCCCTGCACGCCCAAGGAGAGTGCGTGCCCCCTCCTGCAGGGTCCTGTTGAACCTCTCAGCCATGCCATTCTGCTGCGGGTTGTAGGGCACTGTTAGTTGATGTTGGATCCCCTTCCTCTTCAACTCCCCCTCAAAATCAGCTCCAATGAACTCCCCACCATTATCACTGCGGATCACCTTCACCTTGTGTCCGCATTCCCTCTGAGCTCTAGGCATCCACTCCTCAAGGACAGCCGCTGCCACCTCCCCCTTGCTCTTCAAAGGGTAAACCCACACTGCCCGAGTGTGGTCATCCACAATTGTCAAGAAATAGCGGCTGCCTGAGAGGGAAGGGGCTCTTGTGGGCCCCACCACATCCATGTGCACAAGTGCAAGTGGGGTCTTGGCTGGTCCTGTAGTGCTGTTGAAGGGGAACTTGGAGAACTTGGTCTCCAAGCATGTAAGGCAGCTCCCAATCTCCTTCACTCCCCCTTTCACCTCCAATCCTTTCAGGCTCCCATCCTTCACCAACTTCTGCAGCATAGGGAAGTTCACATGGCACAGCCTCTCATGCCATGTCTCCCAATCGGCCTCACCACTCCTAGATGAAGCCTTGGCCCATGCCGCGCTCACATCCACACCAGCAAGCACCTTGCCATGTGTCAGCTGCTTCTGCACTTTCTTGACTGCTTCCATGACCCCATCAGTTGGTGCAGTTGCATCTCCTCCTGCTGTTGCCTTTGCCGCTGCTGCCGTTGATGCTGTTGGAGTCTTCCCATTCCAAGGGATGATGGAGAGCTGCCATAGGTCCTTGATGCAGCTGGTCTCCTCTTCCAGACTCCACAACACCTTCATCCCAAGCTTAGCACGGCAGCTGGATGGTCCAAAGGTCACTTCGGCCTTGCTCTTCTGCAGTCGCCGCACAGAGAGAAGGTTAGCAGACAAGCCTTCAACCAGCAGAACATTCCCAAGCCCCACAAGCTCCCCATTAGCTCCCTTAACATTGGCATTCCCAACACCAATGACAGGGAGCAAAGCACCTGACGCTGCTGCCACATACTTAATCTTTCCAAAGGGTTTGACCTCATCAAGCAAATCTGCCCGTGGGGTCATGTGACTGGTGCAACCTGAATCAATCACCTAGTGCGTGAGAGGGTGCATCACAACCTTTCCCACAGATCCCACATCACCCTCATGCCCATGCACATCCTCAACCATGAGAAACATCCCAGGATAGGTATTACCTTGTGCACCTTCACCTTGTGCACCTGAGCCTTGCACAGCAACACCTTGTGCGCGTTCACCACTTGGCGACTTCATGCCTGGAGGTGCCCATCCCTCTGGCCTGCTGAAGCACTTGAACCAAGGATGCCCGACCTTCTTGCAGTACCAGCAGGTGCCCTCCATTCTGGTACTCCATCTGCCACTAGAGCTCCCATGCCCCTCATTATAGTCACCTCGGCCTCTACCTCTGCCAAAGCTCCTCCCACGGCCTCGGCCTCTCCAACCCCCTCTTCCTCTGCTGCGCTTTGCATCTCCATACCCCTCAGCAGTCTTAGTGGAAGCACCACCTCCCACATGGCGTCTGCGGAAGTCCTCCTGCAGAATCTGCTGCATTAGCCACTCAGGTGTCCATTGATCTTGCTGAGAGTTGAGGGTGGGGATGAGGTTGTCCCAAGAGTTGTCCAACACCGAGATGATCTTGGTGCACTGCTGCAGCTGAGATACACTGCTGCCCGCTGCTACCATCCTTGCATAGGTGTCCTTAATCTTGTCAAGGACCGGCTTCACATCGTCCCCTGGTCGCATGGAGATGGCAGCAAGTTCCTTCTCGAGCACGATCACCATCGGGAGAGTGTTGGGCTGAATCATATCGCGTATTATTTTCCACGCCCTTGGACCCGAATCATCCGCTTCCACAAGATCCTTGATGTGCTCGAACATCTGCTTGTTGACCGATTGAAGGATGAGGTCGAACAGCACCGCGTTTTTCTCAATCCACCGTTCACGTGCTTCGCCTTCTTTCGGCATCTTCTCCTCCCCAACAGCAATCTTCATTAGCTTGTAGCGTTTGAAGGCACTCCTCATCCGCCCGCTCCATTCCTCATAGTTGGAGCCATTCAAAGCTTCAACTTTTGATGGCGGCGGCTCACTTGTCTTCTCAGGTACAGCTTCTCTTCCATTAGCATCTCCTCCTCTCTCATTCATCTTCTCCTTGAGAAATGACGAATTTCAGCTCCCCTTTGCTGTCCACACTCAGCTCCCTCGATATTTTCACAAGTGTCGGCGTCCACGAAATTTCGGCAAAGTTTCCCCTTAGCGGAAGACACATCCAACCTTTAGAACACCACTTAGGCACACCCACAGGCCATGGTGGGTCTAGAAGGGTCTTCACACTTCTGTAGACTCCTCTCAATGTCCTCAATATGCTCTGATACCACTTGTTAGGATTAACGACGGAGTCTAGGTGAACTTAGGAGGTAGAATTACTCAAAATATATATCCGAAATTCTGGACAGAAAATTCGTCTTCACAAGAAACGACGTCGACGAAAAACTAGCCGTTGGAATGTCACGAAACTCGGATATGTTGTAGCTTGTAATCTTAGCTACCATTCTCAATTTGAATCACGTCAATTGATGGAGTATTGGCGACGCTATATCTTTCGACGCTCTGAGGGGTAAGCTGTAGGAGGAGAACTTAACTCAATCTCAAAAGTTCAATCAAAGTTCAAGAATCTCACAAGGAATTAGAGGAGCAAGAGAAAGGTTGGGATGGAAGAGAGGGATGAGAGGGAATGTCCTAAGAGAGTCCCCAACCAAGGAAACCCCATAAGCACAAAGATTCCCCCCTATATAGGAACCCCAACTTTGACATTTGTCCCTTCCCAACCAATCCATCCAAGTTGGCCACCCTTGCCAACCTAGCTTGGTTGTTCCCAACCAATTTGCAGCTGTTACAGTAGAGTGACGAATTTCCCCAACCCCAAAGGTCCCAACTCCATATGAAGTCACCCCACAACTTCACTTTGTAACCGCCGCAATTGTAACGCAAGCTCATGAACTTTGAATCTTCATAGCTTTCGCGATCTTGCTCCGATTGAAGGGATTCTTGTTGCGTCGGAAAGATCTTCTCAAGATCTATCATCACATATACCTGCTCAGACAGAATAACACAAAACACATTCCCAAACTCCAGAACACACACCACACAAATTCTTTCACACACAGTCAAACCATAAATGCGAATTGAAACAACGGATGGGAGGCAGACAGAATGTGAGAGCATATGATGACATCACACAACAAAGTAATGTGATTTTCTACGAACGACTCACCTTGCAATGTTACATGGACAACATCGCAGCCGACCGGGACCCCACTGGTAGTTTCAACGGCAGCTGACCCTTTGCCTCATCAGCAGAAGAAGCTGACGGGGATTAGCAGAACGTCGACGGAACTTCGGAAGCTGCTGGACCTCTCCCATACTGCTCCGTTCCTAGCCTAAAGGATGACGAGGACCCACGCGAAAGTGCGAACGACGAGGCATACTATCATTTCGCCGACAACGGTTACGTAACACCCCAGATCGTTGACACAAATGTTTCCGAGCGTGACGAGCCCAGATTCGTACCTGATCCAGAAGTGTGAGATGAAGCAGTTTATCCTGAAGATCCCCTCTTGCCTCGCTTCACACCTAGCGGACTTCAAATTCTTGGTCTTGTCGCCGCCGTCCACGGAGCTTCGACGCCACCTCCACTCGAGCCTACGACCATCAAACAGGCTCTTGGGGGGGAGCACAAGGAGAAATGGCATGAAGTAATGGAAAGGGAGATGGAGGCGCTTCACGAGCGCAACACCTGGTAAATGGTCCCCGTCGCAAAAGGACGCGACAAAACAATCCTCTCAGGAAAATGGGTCTTCAGAGTGAAGACCAAAGCAGATGGCACGATCGATCACTTCAAAGCCCGTTGGGTCGTTCAAGGCTTGGACCAACAGTACGCACGGAAACCTTTGTGCTCGTCAGTCGACACACGTTCCCGCGAATCCTACTCGCAGTCGGCGCCATGCATCACCTGCCACTACGCCCGATCGACATGGCAAATGCGTTCCTGTACGCGCCCATCGGTATAGAGATCTTCGTAGAGCAGCCGCACGGGTTCGTCAAAGATCCCACGCTTGTTTGCCAGCTTGTGAAATCCCTGTGCGGGATTAAGCAGGCCCCACGGCTCTGGCAGCATTACCTTGATGCGCGGCTCATCCGCATCGGGTTCTTACAGCTGCCGCACGACCAGGGTATGTACCGGCTCACACGAGAAGGCGCCTACATACTGATGATCGTCTACGTAGATGACCTGCTGTACGTAGGCTCGACCGCTGCCGTCACTACTTGGTTTGAAGGGGAGCTACAGCGGGACCTCACGCTCACGGTCTCCCCTTCTGTGAGCCAGTACCTCAGCTTGAATGTGCTGGACGCAGACGAGATGATCTATCTGAGCGCCTCAAAGTACGTTGGCGCCATCGCTAAGAGGTTCGACCTCACTCCGGCTGCGATCTCCACCCCGTACCGCTACTCCGCGCAGAGCCACACGACGGACTCAACCACATCGTGCCCGCGAGACTACGCGACTACCAGCGGAAACTGGGTTGTCTCCTCTTCGCCGCTGTAACCTGCCGACCGGACCTATCCTACTCGGCGAGCCAACTCGCCACCCACCTCAAACGGCCCGAGGCGGAGCACCTAGCTGAACTTAATCGTGCGCTCCACTAATTCGTCTCGACGCCAACGACCGGCCTAAACTATCACAAGACGAAGAACGCATCGCCTAAGCTAATCGGCTACGTAGATGGTGATCACGCCGGCGACCCTGACAACAGACGATCGCGGCTACGTCTACCGCCTAGAGCCCATCGGGCCTATCTCCTGGCAGTCGAGCAAGCAAGAGCTAATTGCTCTCTCCTCTGCTGAAGCAGAGTATATAGCTCTCTGCACAGCCACCAAGGAAGGAATATACCTTCGCGAGCTGATGGAAGAGGCTAAGCTCGCCGCGTTACCCAATCTGCGATGACCAATCTGCAATACGAATTGCGAACACGAATGGTTTCACCAACCGCACGAAGCACATCGCACTGCGCTACTTCTTCGTGAAAGACGAATCGAGAAGGGGAGACTCGAGCTGTCTTACTGCCCCACGTCTGAGATGGCAGCAGATTACTTGCCCAAAAAGCTCGAGAAGTCGAAGTTCAACTGCTGCATGTTACTTACAGGGCAGCGCCACGTGACTCGCCCCGACCACATCGACACTCCAAAAACGAAGGGGGGTGTTGGAAACAAAGAACTGGAGAAGTAACATGTTTCTTTAGTATCAAGACTTAATGGATAGTGTGGAGTGGTCAACAACGAGTACGGCGAGTCAACGGAGGTTACTGTAAATTATATATATTAGCTTATATTATATATATATATATTTGTTTAGGCTTGGTAGGTGTGCTACACTGCTGGATCCTATTGTAGAGGGGACAACCCCCCCTTCTTGTATCTCATCCTCTTCTAGTCCATCCTCTCTTCTCTCGTAACTCCTCCCCCTTAGCTAAACCTCTCGAATTTCTCCTATGCCTAGCTACTCCTAGTCAGCTCCTTCAATAGTTACACGCAGCAGTTGTGCGTGTAATCAAAGCGCGTGGTAGTTACACGCGTGGCAGTTGCACCTATAGGTTGCGCGTGGAGGTTGCGTGGCAGCTCAACTGCATAGTAACCGCTACTGAAAGGTATCGAGTCGCTATACACTCGATAGAGCAACAGCAGCTGTACTAATTGTCATGTATTCTAGAATAACTATATATTATGTATACTGTTTGTGTTAATCAACTCTCTTCTCACATACCGTAATCCCCCGTATAAAACACCCTATGGTGTTAATAAGAATGCAACAAAATTTTGGGTTGGGTGTAATTAAAGGCAAAAAATATACAGCACCCAGGAGTTATGGAATGTGCATATGCAATTTTTGACTTGAATTCAACTGTACTTGTGACAGAGCATTGTTCTGAGTATGGAGTACCATTCTGCTATCTGATCGCGTACCCAACGATTTGGTCCATCTGCATGCCACATCGTCTATGTAAGCAGCTGATTCAGTATTCTGCCAGAGTAGCCAATCAGCTTGTGCTCCAGGCAGCCACCTTGATGCCACATGCGGCGCTGTGCAAGCACAGCATGGGGTGGCGAAATCAACGGCACATTCCGTCGATGGTCGTGAGGGGCATTCTCACGACCGGCACATTCTCACGACCGGCCAGCGCACGGAATCACACATTCTGGATGGTCGTGAGGGGCATTCCATGGGCGACAGGGACGAGGGAGTTGCCCACGTCCCTGCCTTCCCCGCTCCGTCCTCTCATTTTCAGCTTCGACTCCAGGATGCCTTCAAGACAGCCCTTGCAAGGGCTGTCTAAGGCATCCTCTTGCTGTATCTGTAACGTCCCCACGCCATGACCTCAGGCTCTGGCTTGTCTCGCCTTCTGACTCGAAAGGGCCCTTATGGCCAGCAGACGCTTTTGCTTTGTCGGTCCTCTGCCGACGGCGATGCCACTGCGACAGATTCTGCAAGCGGCGAAGCCGCTGCGACAGATTCTGCAAGCCGCGATGCCACTACGACAAAAGGGCGTCGTCCCCTGCCCCGCGTCAGCATGCCGAGTTTCCCCGAGCCCACTCGACGACACCGTGGTCCTACCTTGAATCACGATGTCCATGCCCCTGCATCTCGAAGCAGTATGACAAAGCGGAAGCGCCGCTCTTACAGTGCCTCGGAGAAGTTGTACTGGCTTGCCATGTTCGATGCTCAACCCGACCTCTCTGTGCGTGGACTCGCAAAGCTTGCAGGTGTCGATTCGGGAGTGGAAGAAGGCTCGCGAACGCCTCCGTGTCGCCGCCGGCTGCTGCAAACGCCTCGTCGGTGCCGGACGTCCCGCGAAGTACCCGACGATGGAGAGCGCCCTCTACCGACAGTTCCTGAGGCACCGCGGGAGAAGGCTCGCCGTCTCCGTCAAGCTGCTGCAGAAATGGAGTCGCTCGTACATGCGCGTACATCATCCCGACGTCGACTGGAGGGCGTCGAGTCGCTGGACGTTCAGATTCCGCGCGCGGTGGGGCCTTACGCGTCGGGTGAAGACGAAGATGGGGCAAAAGCTCGCCAACGGTAAACTGTCGTCCTATCCTTGTCATTCAATCCCTTGCCGCGACTTTCAATACTTGATTCTTTTGATTGTCTTGCTTCTCGTGTCTTCCCCCCTGAATTTGTTCTCCGACTGTTTTGTTCTTGGCAGACATGAGGACGAAGATCGAGAAATTCTGGGAGTTCGTCAAACAGATGCGGATTCTCAACCGGTACAACCTCGACCAGATTGTGAACGCCGACCAAACCCCCCTCCTCATCGAAATACCCCGACATGAAGACTGCGGCAGGTGAGCCCCTTCCTAGTCGCTTCCTCAGTCGTTATGTCTAGCCTTCTTGCCTGTTGTTGACGAATTCCACCGTGCCCGTTCCCAGTCGTTATCTCACATTGCCCGTCTTCTTCTCCTCCCATCATGCTCCCGTCCCATGTGCAGGAAATCTGAAGAAGCCCCCGGCCGAGCTCATCTTGAAATGGATTGCTCGGTCATGGGAGGCTGTGCCAGAGGAGCTCGTGTGGAGTTCATTCAAGACGTGCGGGATATCGAATGCGCTGAACGGCACCGAGGACAACCTCGCTCTCCGCCACCTCCGCGGCAAGCCCGACCTCGAGGTGATGGACAATGTCCACATCGAGGAGGGCGAGAGCGGCTACATCAACCCCCTGTACGACGCCTTCATCGATGTGGATGGGGACGTTGCCGACGACGAAGAGGCAAATGCGACGTTGCTGGCGGCTGAAGACATCGACGATGCTGAAGCGGCAACCGAAGAAGCTGCAGTAGCAGATGAAGAGACAAGCACAGACTATGCAGAGACTGCATCAGCAGCAGCAGCAAGTGTTGATGTGTGGCCGGCAGAAGGCATTGCAGAGGAGGATGACGACAACTGCTGGTGGGACGAGCTT